GCAGACTGACTTCCTGGCCCAGTCCTGGCTTGTGCAGACATTTGGGGAGTGAATTAATGAAAGTATGATCTCTCTCTCTCTCTCCCCCTCCCTCCCCTCTCCTCCTTCCCCCTTTCTCTCCCTCCCCTCTACCCCTTCCCCCTCACTTAACCCTCCCCCTCCCCATCCCTCCTCTCCCTCTCCCCCCTCCCTCCTTCCTTCCCTCTTCCTCTATGCCTTTCTTTTTTTTAAGATTTTATTTATTTACTTGACAGGTAGAGTTACAGACAGCGAGAGGAAGAGACAAAGAAAGAGGTCTTCCTTCCATTGGTTCACTCTCCAAATGGCCTCAACAGCCAGACCTGTGCCGATCCAGAGCCAGGAGCCAGGAGCTTCTTCCAGGTCTCCCACATGGGTGCAGGGGCCCAAGTACTTGGGCCATCTTCTATTGTATCCCCAGGCCATAGCAGAGAGCTGGATTGGAAGTGGAGCAGCCAGGACTAGAACCAGCGCCCATATGGGATGCTGGTGCCGCAGGCGAAGGATTAACCTACTGTGCCACGGCACCAGCACCCCTCCCCATGCCTTTCAAATAAATAATTTTTTAAAAGCTGCTCCCAGACGATCTACAAGGAGAAAAATATAATGAAATAGCACCTCACACCTACTGAAGCAGGAGACAGCTAAGGGTTAACTCACAAAACTGAGAAAAGCAAATTCCAAAACTCTGTAATAGTTTGTCTCTTTCTCTCCATCTCTGCCTCCCTTATCCAAAAGCTTGAGGCAGGAAACAAAAAGAGGACTGAGTGGGAAAGTTAAGAAAAAGACCTTGCAAGCTTGAAAACCCTTCACTTAGAAGCCATATAGAGATAGACAGTGGCCAAAGGACCTCTACACCAGGGGTCTTCAAAGCCACATTTAGGGCCCCACACCATTATAAAAATACACCATTTTTCCCATTCAGGACCTCAAGTCTCAGCCTCAATCTGAGCTCTGACTCTAAGCCTGTTTCTACTCTCTTAAGAAATGAATTTTCTTTTCCTATAATCAGCTTTTGTTGTTGTATTTTTGTCTGTGTGAGCTTCATTCAATTCACTGTCTGAGGCTCAGAAGAACCCATACCTGGTCCTCACCTTCCTACTCTCCACTCCCACAACACTATGAGAATGGCTTTCCCCAAAAAGACAAATGAGAACGATTGTTGGCAAGGATGTGGAGTAAAGGGAACCCTCATGGACAGTTGGTTTGAATGTAAATTACTGCAGCCATTTTGGAAACATACAGAAGGTGGTGGTGGTTTGATGGTTGCACAGCAACATGAATGCACTTAATGCCACTGAACAGTGCAGTGAAAATGATCGAGAGGCAGATGTTTAGCCAAACAGCTAATACACGAGCTAAGATACACTTTTGTATATTGGAATATCTGGGTTCCATATCTGGCTCCAACTCCTGCCTCCAGCTTCCTGCTAATGCAGAACCTGGGGGGCAGCAGTGATGGGCTCATGCTACCCACATGGGAGACCTGGATTGCTTTCTCAGCTCCTGGCTTCTCCCAGCATCTGGCTGGCTATTGTACATTTGGGGAGTCAGTCAGCAGATGGCGCCTTCTCTCTCTCTGTGTCTCTCATTCTCCCTCTTAAATAAATACATTTTTTAAGATATGTATATTCGAATATACATAGCGAATATATGTGTGTGTGTGTGTGTGTGTGTGTGTGTGTATATATATATATATATTCAAAAGAGCTAGAGATAGGTGAGGGAGAGGGAGAGACCAGGAGAGCGAGAGGGAGAGAAATCTTCCATTTGCTGGTTCACTCCCCAGATGGCTACAAAGGTCAGATTTGTGCCAGGCAAAAGCCAAGAGGTAGGAATTCCATCCAGCAGCAGAGAAACTCCATCCAGATCTCCTACATGGGCGCAGGGGCCCAAACACTTGGGCCATCTCCTGCTGCTTTTCCCAGGTGCATTAACAGGGAGTTGAATTGGAAGTGGAGCTGCCAGGACATGAACAAGTGTCCATATGGGATGCCATTGTTGTAAGCTTTATCTGCTACACCACAATGGCAGCCCCTAAATAATTGCATTTTTAAAATATAATAAAGATAGTAAATTTGTTCTTATGCATATTTTAGTGCAATGAAAATTTAAATTGGAGAAAAGAATTTTCACAAAAAAGATGACCATTATTAAGAATTAAGTCAGGGAGTGCAGTGGAGGATGGCCCATGTGCTTGGGCCCTGCACCCCATGGGAGACCAGGTGCACCGGCCGCAGCGTGCTGGCCGCGGCGGCCATTGGAGGGTGAACCAACGGCAAAAGGAAGACCTTCCTCTCTGTCTCTCTCTCTCACTATCCACTCTGCCTGTCAAAAAAAAAAAAAAAGAATTAAGCTTTGAAAAACATATGTACTGAATTTAGTGTCCTATTTTAAGTGTATTTTAAAATATATATAAGCATAGGTACATATTCTGATATAGGATAATAAAGAACAAAATGGTACTAGTGATCATTTTCCAGGGGCTTTCCATACATGTCTTTTCTATAATGAATATGAATTCCTTTTATGATAATAACAAAATTTAGTGTTTTTTAACAAGCAACAAAATTCTTTCAAGCAAAGGTTCCTTTAATGTAGAAGATGAAGATAAAAATAGAACTGACTTCAAATGAAAAATAAGCTGACTGTTTCTGGGGAAGAAATAATAACACGAATTATCTCAAAGTGTCTTTTTCAAAAATTTGTACCAAAAAGGAACAAGTTATTTACTGTTGCAGAGTTAATAATTCAGTGAAGAAATTATAGCTATTCCAATTTTAGTTTTATTAGCATGCAAGAGATTACTTTTAGTGACATGCTATAATTGTAGAGTTCTTTTTTTCCAGCTTCATATCTTCTGCAACTTCCTTAATAATGATTAACCATTCATAGCCACTACTTTATATCAGTACAGATGAACAAACTAAGCCACTTTACATAGCGGGCAGGCATTTGGTCTAAAAGGTAAGACTCCTGCATCCCATATGGAAATACTTGGTTTGATACCCATCTGCACTCCAATTTCAGCTTCTTGCTAATGCGCAGCCTGGAAGTCAGTGGTGATGGCTTGAATGATTTGAGATGTGGTTGAGTTCCTGTCTCCCAGCTTCAACCTCAAGTCCAGCCCTGCTCCAGGGTCATCGTGGGCATGTGGAAAGTGAACCAGCAGATGGGAGTGTGCTCACTCGCGCTCGCTCTCTCCCTCTCCCTCCTTCTCTCCCTCTCTCTCCCTCTCTCCCTCCCTCCCTACCTCCCTCTAACAAAAAGACTGTTGTCACAGACTGATAAGCCAAATAATCACCCCACCAGTGTTTAGATGGATGGCAAAGACTGCCAGATGCCTGCCTCGGCATCTATTCTCCCATTGCTATTGGAGACCCCGTATTTTTCACTACACACTGTTCCTTCTGGATCAAAGGCAACATTTCTCAATCTCCCTTGGGGTCAGGTGGTAAGCAGAAGTAATGACAGGTGTACAGGAATGTTACGTGGGCTTTACAGGAAAGCTTACGGGGAGCTGACTCTCAGTGTTCTGATTTTCTTCCTTCTTCCATCCTGCAATGCTGACTGGAGAGAGCTCCAGCAAGGTAGGACTCTGTCTCTCCTCCATGTCACAGTCCAGATGTGAGTGGTCTGGGGCAGGTGGGCAGCTCTATTCTACAGGAGCACCAAGTCACTCTACTTGTCTCAGTTTTCCAGTCAGCTCCTGGGAGTACAAAAAGAAAAATGAAATTCTGTGTTGTTTAAATCCCCTTCTTTAAAAAAAAATTTGATTAATTTACTTATTTATTTGAAAGGCAAAGTGACAGAGTGGGAAAAACAAAGAGACTACCCAGATGACTGCAACAGCCAAGGTAGTACCAGGCCAAAGCGAGGAGACAGGAGCTTCATCTGGTGACAGAGCCACAGCACTCAGGCCATCTTCCACTGCTTTCCCAGGTGCATTAGCAGGAAGTTGTATCAGAAGTGGAGCAGGTGGGGCCAGCGCTGTAGTGTAGTGGGTAAAACCACCACCTACAGTGCTGGCATCCCATGGGGGCATTGGTTCAGGTCCTGGCTGCTCCACTTCCAATCCAGCTCTCTACTATGGCCTGGGAAAGCAGTGGAAGATGGCTCAAGTCCTTGGGCCCCTGCACCAGTGTGGGAGACCCAGAAGAAGCTCCTATCTCCTAGCTTTGGATCAGCGCAGCTCTGGCCATTGTGGCGATCTGGGGAGTGAACTAGCAGATAGAAGATTTCTCTCTCCCTCTCCCCCACCTCTCTCTCTATATATATATATATATATATTACACACACACATTATAGATATACACACACACATATATATATAATCTTTCTCTCTGTGTGTGTGTGTGTGTATATATATATAAATAATCTGCCTCTGCCTCTTTGTAACTCTGCCTTTCAAATAAATAAATAAATAAATATTTTTAGAAAGAAGAAGAAGTGGAGCAGCTGGAACTCAAACTAGCATTCTGATATGGGATGCAGCCATCCTAAGTGGCAGCTTAACCCACTGCACACACCATGGCCCCTTAGGTCTCCTTCTTGAAGAAGCTTAACTTATGCATTATTGACACCAAAATCTGTCCTTAAATGACTCATTGTAGAAAAGCCACTCCCTGTTTGGAACCACAACCCTGGACTATTAAGTAGGAGAGAAATGAACTGCCTATTCTATAAATCATTATGCTCTGGGGTCTCCAGCCCATTCCTACCATGACATAGCAGAGAGATCAGGCACACCAATCTTGCAGCTGTAGGGGGAGGATTGTGATATATATCTAGTTCTTACTAAGAGAATAATGGGTTAAGAACAACAGATAATTCATCACAGAAAACCGAATGAGGTATAACCAAGAATGCACTGAATTGCCAGGGCAAGCAGTCTGTTTTCCTGCTCAGTAGGATTTCACCATTGTTTTAAACCAGTGAATCCTGTGCATTTTTCCCATTTTCTGAAAGAGCCTTTGTTGCAGATATACCATTCCCCATCATCAATACATATTGGATGTAGATGTGGGAGGCATGAGCCACCCTGACACTCAGGCAAGAGGAGAGGATATCCCTCAGAGATTCTGGGCTGTGAGATGGGTGCAGCACCCAGGCAGGACTCCAAGTTGCAGGCAGGTGGCAATTACACTTTATGGTGGGAAGAAAGGTGAGTGTGGCTCCATGCATGGCCAGAGGGAGTGAACTGGGAAGATCGCTATTTTCTCCAGACACCTTAGTAATAGAAGCACCAAATAGATGGTCTTATTTTTTAATCCATTCGTCCAGTCTGTATCTTTTAACTGGAGAATTGAGGCCATTTACATTCACAGTACAACTGGAAACCATTATACTTAGTGAAATAAGCCAGTCCCAAAAAGATACCATATGTTTTTCCTGATCCAAGGTAACTAATGAAGTACCTAAAATGTAATGTTTTGGAGTGAAATGGACATACTGAGATTTGATGTTTTTTTTTAAACTTTTTTTTTTATTTTTAACTTTTTTATTTTTCCCCCAAAACCTTTTATCTAAGGAATGCAAACTTCATACATTTCATAATTTCACTTTAGGAACACAGTGATTATTCCACCGTACCTGCCCTCCCACTCCTCTTCCTTCTCCCTCTCTTAATCCCATTCTTATTTTTTACTAAGATCTATTTTCAATTAACTTTATACACATATGATTACTTCTATGTTAAGTAAAGAGTTCAAGAAATAGTATGAGAAAAAAAAAAAGAAACCTCATTGTGGTTTTGACTTGCATTTCCATGAAAGCTAGTGATCCTGAACATTGTTTTCATGTGAATGTGGGCCATTTGGATTTCTTCTTTTTGAAAAATGCCTGTTTAAGTCTTTTACCCATCTCTTAACTGGGTTGCTTGTTTTGTTGTTGTCGAGTTTCTTGATCTCTTTATCAGTTGCATAGTTTGCAAATAATGTCTCCCATCCTGTCAGTTGCCTCTTCATTTTCCTGAGTGTTTCTTTTACAGTACAGAAGCTTCTCAATTTAATGTAATCCCATTTGTGAATTTTGGCCTTGATTGCCTGTGCTGTGGGGTCTTTTCCAAGAAGTCTTTGCCTATGCCAATGTCTTGCAGGGTTTCCACAATGTTCGCTAATAATTTGATGGTATCAGGTTGTAGATTTAGGTCTTTAATCCATTTTGAATGGATTTTTATGTAAGGTATAAGGTAGGGGTCTTGCTTCATACTTCTGCAGAAATCCAGTTTTCCCAGCACGATTTGTTGAAGAGACTGCTCTTGCTCCAGGGATTGATTTTAGCTCCTTTGTCAAAGATAAGTTGGTTATAGATGCATGGATTGATTTCTGGCATTTCTATTGTGTTCTATTGGTCTATCCATCTTTTTTTGTTTGTTTAACAGAGTTAGACAGTGAGAGAGAGGCAGAGAGAAAGGTCTTCCTTCCGTTGGTTCACCCACCAAATGGCCACTACAGATGGAGCTATGCCGATCTGAAGCCAGGAGCCAGGTGTTTCTTCCTGGTATCCCATGGGTGTGCAGGCACCCAAGCACTTGGGCCATCCTCTCCTCCATTCCTGGGCCACAGCAGAGAGCTGGACTGGAAGAGGAGCAACCAGGACTAGAATCCGGCGCCCATATAGGATGCCAGCACCGCAGGTGGAGAATTAACCAAGTGAGCCACGGAGCTGGGCTCCCATCTGTTTTTCTGTACCATTACCAAGATGTTTTGATTATAGCTGCCTTGTAGTATGTCTTGAAATCTGGTATTGTGATGCCTCTAGCTTTATTTTTGTTGTATAAGATTGCTTTAGCTATTCGGGTTCTCATATGTTTTCATATGAATTTCAGAATCATTTTTCTAGATCTGAGAAGAATGTCCTTGGCAATTTGATTGATATTGCATTGAATCTATAAACTGTTTTTATAGCACAGACATTTTGATGATATTGATTCTTCCAAACCATGAACATGGAAGATATTTCCATTTTTTTGTATTTTCTTCTATTTCTTTCTTTAATGTTTTGTAATTCTCATCATAGAGATCTTTGACATCCTTGGTAAAATTTATTCCAAGGTATTTGATTTATTTTAAACTATTTTGAATGTGATTAATCTTAGAAGTTCTTTCACAGCCATAGCATTGTCTGTATACAAAGGCTGTTGATTTTATATCATGCCACTTTACCAAACTTTTATGAGTTTTAATAGTCTCTTAGTGGAGTCTTCTGTATCCCCTCTACATAGAATCATGTCATCTGCAAGTAGGGGTAATTTGACTTCCTCCTTCCCAATTTATATCACTTTGATTTCTTTTTCTTGCCTGATGGCTCTGGCTAAAGTTTCCATTACTATATTGAATAGCAATGATGACAGTAGCCATCCTTGTCTGCTTTTGTATCTCAAGGGGAATGCTTCTGACTTTTCCCCATTTGGTTGGATGTTGGCCATGGGTTTGTCATAAGTTGCCTTGATTGTGCTGAGGAATGTTCCTTCTATAAAGAATTTTCTTAAAGTTTTCACCATGAAAGGGTGTTGTATTTTATCAAATGCTTTCTCTGCATCTATTAAGATAATCATATGTTTTTTTATTCAATTTGTTATCATGATGTATTATATTGACTGATTTGTGAATGTTGAACCATCCCTGCATACCAGGGATAAATCCACATGATCCAGGTGAATGATTTTTCTGATGTGCTGTTGAATTCAATTGGCTAGTATTTTGTTGAGGATTTTTGTGTCTATTTTCTTCAGGGAAATTGTTCTGTAATTCCCTTTCTATGTTGTATCTTTTTCAGGTTTAGAAATTAAGGTGAGGCTAGCTTCATATAGTTTGGGAGGATTCCCTCTCTTTCAATTGTTTTGAATACCTTGAGAAGAATTGGAGTTAGTTTTTTAAATGTCTGGTAGAATTCAGCAGTGAATCCATCTGGTCCTGGGCTTTTCTTTGTTGGAAAGGTATTTAGTACTGTTTGAATTTCCATCTTGGTTATTGGTTTGTTTAGATTCTTTATGTCTTTATGGCTCAATTTAGGTAGGTTGTATGTGTCCAGGAATCTGTCCATTTTTTTTCTAGATTTCCCTAGTTTGTTGGCATACAGCTCTTTGTAGTGATTTCTGATAATTCTTTTTATTTCTGTGGTGTCTGTTGTTACATTTCCTTTTTCAGCTCCAATTTTATTGATTTGGGTCTTCTCCCTCCTTTTTTTTTTTGTTTAGTTGAGCCAATGGTGTGTCAGTTTTGTTTGTTTTTTCAAAAAACCAGCTCTTCTTTTTGCTGATCATTTGTATATTTTTGGTTTCAATTTTGTTTATGTCTTCTCTAATTTTAATTATTTCTTTTCTCCTAATTTTGATTTTTTTGCAATTTGCTGCTGTTTTTCTAGGTCCTTGAGATGCATTGATAGCTCATTTATTTGGCGCCTTTCCAATTTGTTGATGTAGGCATCCATTGCTACATACTTTCCTCTTAACCTTACTTGTGCTGTATCCTATAAGTTTTATTATGTTTTATTGTTATCTTCATTTGTTTACAGAAATTTTTTGGTTTCTCCTCTAATTTCTTCAGTGACCCACTGTTCATTCAGGAGCATATTTTTTAGGCTCCATGTGTTTGCATATGTTCTAGAGATTCTTTTGAGTTGCTGATTTCCAGGTTCATTCCATTATGGTCAGAGAAGATCCATGGTATGATTTTGATTTTTTTTTTAATTTGCTTTATGACCTAGCATATGGTCAATCTTAGAGAAAGTTCCATGTACTGGTAAGAAGAATGTGTATTCTTCAACTGTAGGATGGAAAGTTCTGTAAATATCTGTTAGGTCCATTTGGTCTATAGTGTCTATTAACATTGCCGATTTTCTGTCTGGTTGATTTTATTCTGTCCATTGCTGAAAGTGGGGTATTGAAGTCCCCCATTACTATTGTATTGAAGTCTATGTCTCCTTTTAGATCCATTAACATTTCTTTTAAATTGCCAGGTCGCCTGTAATTAGGTGCATATACATTTATTATAGTCACATCTTCCTTTTGAATCAATCCCTTAATCATTACATGGTGATCTTCTTTGTCTCTTTTAACAGTTCTTGTGTTAAAGTCTATATTGTCTGATATTAAGATGGCTACACTAGCTCTTTTTTGGTTTCTATTAGCATGGAATATCATTTTCTTTCTTTCTTTCTTTCTTTCTTTTTTTTTTTTTTGACAGGCAGAGTGGACAGTGAGAGAGAGAGACAGAGAGAAAGGTCTTCCTTTCCATTGGTTCACCCTCCAATGGCCACTGCAGCCAGCACACCGCGCTGATCTGAAGCCAGGAGCCAGGTGCTTCTCCTGGTCTCCCATGCGGGTACAGGGCCCAAGCACTTGGCCATCCTCCACTGCACTCCTGGGCCACAGCAGAGAGCTGGACAGGAAGAGGAGCAACCGGGACAGAATCCGGCTCCCCAGCCAGGACTAGAACCCGGTGTGCCAGCACCGCAGGCAGAGGATTAGCCTATTGAGCCATGGCACCTGCCATGGAATATCATTTTCTATCATTTCATTTTCAGTGTGTGTGTATCTTTGTTGGTGAGATGTGTTTCTTCTAGGCAGCAAATAGATGGGTTTTGTTTTTTAATCCATTCAGCCAGTCGGTATCTTTTAACTGGAGAGTTGAGGCCATTTACATTCAATGTGATTATTGATAAATAACAACTTTGCCCTGCCATTTTTTCCATAAATAATCCTTTTTTTAACTTGGATTTCCTTTGTACTTTTACTGGGAGATTTTCTGCCTTCACCTTCTTTTGTAGTGATGACCATATTTTTGTGTTTCTGTGTGTAGCTCATCCTTAAGCATCTTTTGTAAGTCTGGATGAGTGAGGACAAATTCTTTCAATTTCTTTATGTTATGGAAAGTCTTTATTTCACTTTCATTCATAAATGAGAGCTTTGCAGGGTACAGTATTTATGCTTTGACAGTTTTTTTTTTTCTCTTAAGACTCAGAATATACCTTGCTATTCTCCCCTAACCTGTAAGGTGTCTGATGAGAAGTCAGCTGTGAGTTTAATTGCAGATCCTCTGAAAGTAATATGGCATTTCTCTCTGAACGTTTTGCAATCTTTTCTAAAGATTACTGTGGAGACTTTGACTGTGGGGAGCAATCCGGACTAGACTAAGTTACTCGAATTAGGACTTATTCTATGCATCTGCTCTCCCACAATATGGCGCTGGGAGAGAAGTAAACAGCTTCCGCACAGCTGCCTCCAGTTCAACCAATTAACTGTAGGACTTGCTCCTGATTGGAGAGCAGCGTACTTGGCATGTGGGCAGCCGAGTTAGGATTGGCGGAAGAGGACTATAAAGGAGGAGAGAGACGGCATGCACCAGGAACATCTATGGGGAACATCTAGCTGAGGGAACACCTGTGCAGCCCCCGAGAAGAGCCGGCCGGCGGTGTGCCGCTCCCCTGCGGAAGTGGGGAATGCGGCCAGGGGGAACTGCCCTTCCACGGAGGTGGAAGGGATAGTAGCCAACCCGGGAAGAACCAGCAGCAAACCCGGGGAGGGCCGAGCAGACGAAAAGAACAGCGCAGGGTCCTGTGTTGCTCCTCCACGAAGAGGGGGAGCGACATTTGACTACGATGTGTCTTGGTGAAGATCTTTTCTAGTCATGTATATTAGGAGTTCATGTGCTTCCTGTACTAAAACATTCCTTTCTTTCTCCAAATTAGGGAAGTTTTCTGTAGTTATTTCACTAAAAAGGCCTTTTAATCCATTCTTTTCTTCCCTCACCTTCAGGATCTCCTAAGACCCATATGTCGGGTCATTTGGTAATATCCCCTAGATCTCTAACAGTTTTTAAATTTTCTAATTTCTTCCTTTTTTTGTGGTCTAACTGTAAAATTTCTAGTGATTTTTCTTCTAACTCAGATATTCTTCTGCATCACATAGTCTGTTGTTTAGGCTTTCCACCACAGTTTTTAATTGTTCTATTAAATTCTTCATTTCCAAGATTTCATTTTGATGTTTCTTTAAGATCTCAATTTCATGGGAGAAATTTTCTTTCATGTCATGTACAGATTTCATTAGTTTCTGGACTTGCATCTGATTACTTCTAAGTAATCCTACAATCAAATTTTTAAATTCTACTTCAGGTATTTCTTCAGTTGCTTCATCTGCACATTCTAGTATTGAAATGTTATGTTCTTTTTCCCCTGTGATAGCTTTTATCTTTGAACTATGCTTTTGTGACTTTGTGGAGTATCCACTTTCTCAGTGAATACCCCAAGGCATGTGCTGGGTGTTGCAGGGAGCTCTGTTCAGTGCTCCAGGGTAAAGGGAGTATCAAAGGTGACACCCAGGTTGGGAGTGGTAAATTTTTTTTTATTAGAGGGGAAGTTTGTTCTGCTCTCTTGGCATAGTTTCACACATACCTCCTCTCCTCAAAGGAGACCAGTGCCTGGGCTGTTGCCCCAGTGGGTACAGTATTCATCTGTGCTGCCACAAGAACCACACAAAGGACATGTGCAGTTCTTGGTGTAAGCATGGCTCCTGCAGCAATGACCCTTCCCAGGGAATCAGAGAGCCCTGAGCATGTGATCCACCAACAGTGATAGCCCAAAGTCCCAGCCACACCCTGTGCCCTCCCACAGAGACAGTGTTTAAACAGTCCCAGCACACAAAGCTCCCACAGTCATGAGCACCCAGCCCCCATCAATTCTCCCAGCCAGACTCAGGCATCTCAGCTGTTTGTTGGGTGTATAGACACAAGCTGGCACAGCTGTTACATATGTCCAAAATGGTGCCTGCCCTCTCTCAGCTTGTTACAGGATGCCAGTGCTTGGTGGTTGGGGACAGAGAAATGTGCCCCTATTTTTTTTCTCCTCTAGGTTGGCAGGTACACTGTCCCCTACAAGGCTGTAAGCTGGACTTGCACCAGGCTCTTCCCACAGCTTTAGCACCAGTGGCTTGGGCTGCTGCAGTCTGGTCTTACCTCACTCCAAAGCTGGTTCTGATGTGCTCGTCTACTGAGGTCCTGAGTTGTGTCCACATCCTCCACAAAGGTCCACAGTGTCCCTCTAATTCATGTGGATATTTCTGCTGCCATTTTCTCCCTAACTCTTCCCTAAGACTGCACTCTCTCCACTTTTTTTAAACTATCTTCTCCTACACTAGAGCAGTAAGCTTCCTCCCTATTCTGCCATCTTAGATCTCTCTGATGATTGTTTACAGCCCTTGTCTCTTCTGTTGAAGAACAGTGGGTTTTTTTTTCCCATTTGTGCTATTTGGTGAACTATTTTGTTTAGTGTAGGGTTAACTTTACAATCATTAAGTGAACTGAAAGTTGATCATTGTAAAAGTTAAGAGTGGGAGTGGGAGAGAGAGGAGGAAGAAGGGTTGAAGTATGAGCAGGAGGGAGGGTAGGGTGGGAAGTATCACTATGTTCCTAAATATGTATATATGAAATATATGAAACTTGTATAACAAATAAAATTTAAAAATAATAGAAGCACCAAGTTCTAGCTATTTCTTGGTTCACAGCCACAGACTGGAATTCTCAGACTCCCTAATAGGTTCCTATGACCAAGTGTCGGCCAGTGGAACGTGAGCAGTTGTGATGAGTGGTACTCCTCTGTCATCTCTGTGAAAATACAGTGTCGTCCCCATGACTTCCTTGTTCTGCTTCCCACCTCCTACAAACACAACCACTAGGTATGTAGAGCAGGTGAAAAGAAGCTGAAGACTGGGCTGAGAACTAACTGGGAAAGGCTTAAATAAATAAGGTGAAATTTTAATTTGCAACTGATAGTCTTCAAACTCAGATAAATAAGT